AACCCCTGTCACATTACAAATTGTCTATATAAAAATGTGAATTTGTTCAAGTTCACATAATGTATCATTGTGCCTGTTGATCAAAAAACAGTGGAATTAATATTACTGAATATTAATATATGAAAATTACTGAAGAGACAAAAGAGGTGACACAAAAACCAGCACAGACTCCCGGAGTGTTTTCTCAAAGTGAAGTTTCATTTTTAGCACATAGTTTTTTTTTCTCCATTCTACACCCCCCTGCAATGTTACGTACAGTAGTAAGCCTCTCTACATTCAAACCCCCCCACCGCTGTGTTGGTCCCCAAAATATACATTTTCTTCTTCTTCTGCATCATCTTTATCATCTTCTCTAAGGTTTTTCTTCAACACAACAAACACAGACCATTGGGCAGACAGTGCAAATCTAGAAATTCAGTGAAATTGCTACGTAATGCGGTTGTAGGTTTCGGTAACATTATATTCTCATTCTGTTACTGTTGCTCTGACTTATTGCCATTCTATTGTGTCTAACTCTATGTCTTTTCTTTCCTCTGTCTTTCTCCTCCTCAGTTTTTTTTTTCTTTTTTCAAATCTTTACTGGCTGCTTTCATCCAGTCTATTCACACCACCCCTCGGAATTAAAGCATTTGTTTCAATCTGGCCACAAGAAAGTGGCCACAGAGAGGAAATGTGACAGCGAATGAAACCAGCGTTTGATGGCCGTCTGCGAGGCGATACCAGAGCTCTCTACGGACACTCTCTTCTCTCACTTCCTGTTCTGGAGCAGTTCTAGAATGCACGACAGTATTCTAGAAAGAGGAATATCACTGTTAATTAATATAATTGAGGATTCTAGAACAGTGGGAGCCGGGGGTTCTGTTTTTCCCCCCAGAGTCAGCTGAGCGACTGACAATAACAATCAAGAGGGTTTGTGAGTAAGCTAGTCAAAACAAAAATCATAAAGTAAGCTGAGTTTTATGACAGCGAGGTCAAGTTTTGTCTCTGTTCAGCTGTGTTTTCTGAGTGTTTTTTCTGCCTGAATCAAAGCAATGTTTGAAATCAAATGGGAGCGTTTGTTTTTCTTGCCTGCCCAGAGTGGCCAGCCAGGTGGTGTGTGCAGGTGCAGGTTTTTCAGGTGTTTGCTTGTATGAGGCTGCTATCACACCTAATCCTTCAGTGCATTTTCTGTTGCTGCCACGAAGTGCAACCGATACAAATGTGTGCGCCTTACATCTACGCTATGTGCAGAAACAAAGAGAAAAAAAAACAGGCATATGTCAGTGGTTCCCAACCTGGGAGTTGGGGCCCCTTTAAGGGTCCGAACATTAATCAAAAGGGTCACAAGCTAAACAAAATTCCTCCAATTTTTGCTCTTTTGTATTTTTGCTTATTTGTATATTTTGCCGCTGAAGACCCTACAACCAAAACTGAGAAGAAAAAACACTCTTTGGTTTACTTGCTCGCAACTCATCGTCCACATTAAGGAGTCACAAGTAGACATGTAATTTGTAATTGGCAAGCTAAAGGGTCGGGAACCACTGGCACATTCGTAACTAACTCCTAACTCAGGTTCCAAATTCTAGCCTTTTTCTGAGCTTTCCATCGTATCTCCCAGTCTTCATCAGCATATGGAGTTTGCTCAGTTTTCCTCATTCCGAACACCAGTTACCTACATAGTTGACTGACGTTCCATACTTTAGTCAACTGGTTAATTACTGCCGACCGCGCAACCCCATCCCCTGATGAGGACCATGACATGTGATTGTAAGCTGCAGAAAAATCCAGTAAGTGGACCTTGAGTTAAGTTTATTTTTTTTATGTCAACTACTCACATGCACAAATTTGACAATATTTGGTTTCGGGTGTGACTGACAAACATGTTGGAAGCTATAACCTGGATGTTGGATGTGGAATCTGCAAATAAAGTGAAATTCAAAGCTGTAGCGTCTACGTTTGAAAGCAACAACCTCTTTTGTACTAAGGAGCAATGGCAGAATAACTGTGGGTGTGACCGCAGCCTGAGAGCATCAGAACAAGTCAACCAAACTCAAATCAAATTTAAAGCATTCAAAAAAACCTGGAAATTTGGGGGCAGAAACGCACCACTGTGAAATTTATGCCGCTCAATAAAACTTGAAATGCCAATCTGAGCGCTGCAAGCAAATGGATTTCAAAACCTTGTTGACTCAGGCACGATTAGAAGTTTGAAAAACTGCTGGTCTGAAGGGTTTCTGAATGTTTGGTTACGAAGCAGCCGACAGGTAGCTCTGCGTCTCAAGCGTCAAAAAACACAATCAATCGATTTGTTTTACGATACATTCGGATTCAAACCCTGTCCCTCAGGAAGGAGAGAAGGAGAGAGAGAGAAAAAGAAACAAAGAGACGACTGTTTTCTCTCGTTCTCTATCACTCTGTCTACGCACATCTCCTGCTCACCGATTCACTCGCTGGTTGCACACCAACACACGCACGCACACACGCACACATACACAACCTGACCATCATCTTCAAATAAGGTTACATTTCCTGATCAAATAGAAAATAAATAGCATCAGTATCAGTTTTCCACAAAATGAACAAGATCATACAAAAACCAAGAAAAAAAACAACATAATTACAAAGCAAAATCATTTCTCATCAAATAAATTTACACAGAAAGTACCTTTAAGACAATGTGAATATCAAGGACGCAACAGGAGTAAAAACAAGAGTGGGGGGTAAACATTTTAGCGTGACACCCACTTCCTGTTTAACCCCCTAAAAACACACAGATTATCCTGAAAGAATGAAAATATTGCTAAAATAATTTTTTTCTGTTTTTTTCCCCTCTCTTTATCCCATCACTCTATCATAATGATCAGACAAGAATAAACAGATTTTTGTTGGTTCACACCGAAAAAAAGTTATCATCGTCATGGTCGCCATCTAGCAGCGTCAGGTCTGCTGAGCCTAAAGAAACAGACGCTCCGGGTGCAGAAATCCAACTGGATCAAAGTGTTTTTCTTTTCGTCTGAAACACTTGTGGTGCGTTTTATTTGTTCTCCACTAACCTCTGTGCTGGGTGGGGTTTACTAGTCGGCTTGGATACGTTTTTGGTTCGAAGTTGGGAGTTCTACACTTCAACTTTGTGTAATGTAACCTCGGCAAATGAGTACATTTGTAAAATATTTAACCAAAAAAATCATTGTGTGCCGCAACATAAAAATTAAAGGCACCTTGTGGAGTTTTTTACCACTAGTAGCGCTATGGAGTAAAGTTTTTATGAGCGGGTCCAAGTGCACAAGGTTGCACATGGATATGATTCACATCATGCTGATTTCATGCTATTCCACTGATCGACAGTTGGTGGCGCTAATGTACAAAGAAATGTAGCAATATGCCAACAAAGGCAGGGAAGAAGAAGACTGCTAGCAAGTAAACATGGATGTAAACAATGTAAGTTAAAATTGACTTTACAAATGTTTTATGAGGAAGGAAATGCAATTCAGCACATTTGTAAAGCCTCATGGATACACACAATGTGTTTTGGTGAGTAACACTGGATGTAAACATAACTTTGTTTCTCCACAGGGCACCTTTAAAAGGACAAAATAAAACATAGCAACGATCTTTAAACATGGAATGTTTGGGGATTTTTTTTATGAAATACCCCTTTAAGATACACCCACCGCACCGCAAACATCCAAAATTTCAAAAGAAAAGAAAAACAGCCACCACCAATCCAGTTCATTCCTCCCCTCTTTAAGGTCTGTTAAAGGGGAATTCCGCTGAATTTCAGCACTCACATTATGGCCTCATACAGTTAACGTGTGATGTGAATTCAGAATTCGAGCCGGCCTTCCCCTTTATGGTATCTGCTACACTAGTGTTTCTCCCATAATACACTACAGAAATATCCAGAGACATATGTATATATATAAAAACATTATCATCATCATCAGTAGTACTTAGAGTAGAGTAGAGTAGTAGTAGTAGAGTAACAAGTAAGAAGAAGGAACAGTATTGTACTTTATATCATTATCATCATCTTCATCAGTGGTTTTTTAACCTTGAGGGACTTTAGGCCCGTCCTTTGGTGGAACCCGACAGAATGGGAGAGGAGTTAGTGCCAGAACCAGCTGTGTGTGTGTAAGAGTGTGTGTCTATGTCAAAAAGAAACAGTGTGAAATATATTGGTGCATCAATAAATTGTTGGTGTGTGAGATCTGTTTGACCTGGATACACTTTCTCTCTGTAGCTCTGTCTTCTCATATTTACAGTAAATATGTACCTGTGTCTGTGTGTGTGTGTGTGTGTGTGTGTGTGTGAGAGAGAGGTTTTGTGTGTCTGGTCTGTGCGGCAATAGTTTTGGGACATTTGTGTGAAATTGCTTCTTTTGTTTATTAATGCATTGTGCTATCCACGCATGAAATAAGCATCTCTGACCAAAAGATAAATACGAGGCCACAGTACAGACTCTGACTCGGTTGGTTAAATATCAAGACAAGTTAGACACATGTTAAACTTGGTTAGTGTTGCACCAAAAGAGAAATTTCATCTCTTATTTTGAGGCTGATTTGAAGCAGGCCAGCTACCAATTCTGGGTACTGACCTGCAGTTTAATAAACCAGCCGTTAATTAAAATGACAGTCAGCACTTTTGGACAATATTCATCTTCTGATCTGCAACATAATGTGTGTACAGCAAAAATTGAACCAGTTTCACACAACTCTGTCAGAAAAAAGGTACAGTCTTTAACTAGGATCACTGAGTTTGTGCGCTCTTTCACAAAAAGCCACCCCCTCGATGATACAAGATAAAAAGACCAGAAGAATTGTTTTGTACCTTTTCTGTCTGACCTCTCCCAACACTTTCACCAACAACCTCATGTCTTCTCCCTGTCCCCTAACCCCCGTGTTATCCAATCTCTGTGGAGCAGCACCTAGGTGGCGCTCTCCCCAGCTCCAGAGGAGGAAGAAGAGGCCCCGCTGGGCTTGGGCTCGGGCTGGTCGGAGTGAGCCGTCTGCGGGGATGAAGGGGTCGTCGGGTCCCCTCTCTCGCCTCGCTCCTGGAGGTTGCGCTGGTTCCTGGCCGCCTCTGTGAGCATCTGCATCCGGCGATCCTGGTGTTCCTCCAGGCCTCGCCACAGGTCTGCACGCTCCCTCTCTCGCTTCATCTCCCTGGAGAGGCAGGAAGAAGAGAAACCATATCAGGTTACAATGTTCTGCTAAAGAAGTTCCAAACTGTGGAGCCATAAAACTTTAATAGGATCTTTCCAAATGATAAATCATAAAATAATTTAGACTAATTTATTCAATTAGTGATGGAACTGGGTAGAAATTCAAGATTCAAGATTTAACTACTTTATCTACTTTCCTGTGGTTTTATATAATAATTAAAATTGATTGAATCTCAAACAAATAGATGAGTCTAAGGTTAATGCAATTATTTTATCCTCAACTCTGCAATGCAAAAGACAAGTGTGGACTTGATGCTGTTTCCCTTAAAAATTACAAAGACAACTTACACCATAAATAGGTCACTAGCGGAGAGTTTATTTCCCAGTGGTCGGAAAACTGCTATTGTAACTGCAGTATATAAAACAGGTGACGGACAAGAGGTAAGTAACTACAGTCCTATTACTATACTCCATGCTATTTCCTCGAAGTCATCAAGGCTAATTCAGATAAAGGAGGGGTATGGGAACAGTGTTTCTTGACCTACATAAGGCCGCTGACACAGTTACTGATTCAGTATGTCTTACTCAGCTGTTTAAGTATAATCTCTGTAACATTAAGCACATTACATTGGACAAAAAAAAATCTGTCAGATCACACCCAGTGTGTAAATAACACAATGTCATTGACAAGAGCCTGTACTACTGGAGTACCGCAAGGCTCCATACTAGAGCCACTGTTATTTAGTTTGTACATCAATGATCTCCCATCTTTGTGTGATGATGTAGAGCAGGGGTCGTGTTAACCGAATATTTTCTGTCATTTTAATTTTTTTAACAATGACAGAAAAATCTCTGAGCTGATAAATACTGAGGGCGATCTACCGTAACGAGAAGTCTGATGCTGTTGCTGTTTCTGGGAGCTGTCCAGAGTGTTCTCTTTCTCCCGCGCCCACATTAGTGGGAAGACCTAGGCTAAATAAACAGAGTAATTGTTCCCAGTGTGTTCTTTATTACTGAATAGCAGCAAAACAAGTAACCCTTCATTAAAGACATGAACTCTCTTTTCCTCTCTCTCTCCCACACACATACATCTACTGTACACACAAACAATGCATCCTTCACATCTTGTATGTAGGTATATACTGTCTTTTTTAGCTTCATGTTTGGTTGCACTGTGTAGAAAAAGTCCACAGTTCCAGGATTTAACCTATTTCAACAGGCTTCAAGCACCGACCAGCTGGATGCACTGCTGCACAGCATCTGTGTGTGTGTTTGAGAGAATGAATGACAGAGAGAGGTAAAGAGAAGGTGGAAGGTGGATT